TCATGTTTATTTTTAGCCACGGAGGCTGCCTGACCTACAATTTAAGACCTGAGCGGCGGGAATAATTGTCAGGTCTGGGAACCAGACTAAAAGCAGCGGTGGCGAGGAAGGAACATTTCTGACCAGACGTAAAGCCAATCTTGGGTTCATGTTAATATGGAGAACAATGCATAGGCCTAGATATGCATGTAATGGACCAATGTCGTTTGGGGAAAAAAAGGTTCGCGGGCCGAACACCACTGGTTGTCGGGATGGGCTATTGCACGGGCTTCCGGTCCGTTCAGCGCTCGCTCAGCCCACGGGGCCTGAAGCGCTGTCGGCCGGGTGCATTATGAGCGATACGGAGCCGATCGCCCGGGGGGATCCCGGGCCGACGGCCCCCGTGCCATCTCGCTCAGAGGGACTACTCTCATCATCGGATTTTTTCCGTTGTTCAGGGGTCCCGGTGTCTCAGGTGTCTTCCGATTTTTCCTCAGACACACCTCGGGGCCGTTCTTCTAAGAAGAAGAATAAGAAGAAGAAGGCTGCACGTCGATCACGCCGTTCTTCTTCGGGTTCTGACGACTCCTCTGACCGGTCCCGCCGGGGCAAACGTTACCGGGGGGAGGACGCGGTTTCTAGAGCAGATTTCCTGCAGGCTTTCCAGTCGATTTCTGATACGCTATCAGCTATGTCGGGCGGGCCCTATTGGGGGGCCCCCTGCAGCAGTGGACTACGGCCCACAACCATCGGTCGTTGGGCCCGCATCGCAGTCTTCAGTCACCGGTCACGCTTGGGTGGCCTGGGAACAGAGGGACATACCGCACACAATTAGTCGTGCTCCAGCGTCCCCGCCTGCGGTGAGAGCTTCACAGTCGTCGTTCGTTGGCCACGGTTGGGTGGCCCAGGCACAACAGGATATACCACACGTGGTTGACCGTACACCGGAGGCCCGGCCTGCAGCGAGTGTCTCGCATGCATCGGCCGTGAGCCACGGTTGGGTGGATCAGAGGCCACGGGATCTACCGCGTACGCTGGGATCCCCGCCTGTATTGAGCATTTATCCATCCATGCCGTTTGACTCTGAGGAAGTTGTCCAGCCGCTAGCGCATGGCTCGGTACAACTCGCCCCTCCAGACGACGTTCGTTCACCGGAGTCAACTCGGCCCTCACAATCGGCTGAGTCATCCGATGACGACGAGGAACCAGACCGATTACAATGGCTGTCTATCTCTGAAACGGAGCTCCGTTTAGTACAGAGGGATATGATAAGAGTACTTAATCTACCCTCCGCTGATGAGCCCCCTCCGCCCGATCATAAATCTTTCAAGCGAAGGACGGGCTCCACATCTAGCAGCGATAACATATTCCCCATACTTCCTTTAGATCAAGTATGCGTGGAACATATCGACAACATCATGTCAACGGATAAATGGCGTCCGTTTCTCAGACGGGAACGAGATTATTTTCGTTTCCCGTCTGAAGATTTTGCGAAGTTTTTCACTCCGCCTACTCTCCCCGATGCAGCAAAAGATAAACTTGCGGCCGATGAGAGTGGTTCGTCTTCCAAGCGACCCTTTGTGGACAAATCGCGTTGTAAACTTGAGGACGTTTTGAAGAAGATAGACACAGCTTCACGTTTCGGTTTGCGATCAACGCCTTTCTTACTTCTTCTTACGGAATATTTGGCCGTGGGCTATGAAGAGGACTCGCCGATTCCAGCGGATATGCTGACTGCGGCCCTTCATTGCCTTGACCATGGTCTGCGTTCAGTGCTGGATCAATTCGCACGTGTGTCGGCCCTATCAACGTCCACCCGCCGGGGTAACGTGCTCGATGCACTTTTCCTCCCGTTGCAGGGTGCTCGCAAAAGACTTGAAGATCTCCCCTTGACGGGCACGGATCTATTTGACGGTAAATTCGAAGATCAGATGCGAGATGAGGCCAAACGTCTGAAGGCTACGGAGAAAATCAACTTCAAGAAGCCTCCAGCACCGGCGTCCAAACAACAGCGGGGTAAGGGCAAAACATTTGTCATTCCCCGCCGCAAACCTCTGAAATCTGGTCGCGGTGGTTTTCGTGGCCGCACGGACAATACTTCCGGTGCGCGCGCCACGCAGGCCCGCACGTTCTCTGGACAACAACGGCCCCAATCCGGTCGTGGTTTCCGGGCACTGGCCCCCCGCTATCCCGGGGGCTGGCGCAAGTTACTTAGTAGACTCGTGGCGGCCTCCCGCCATCGGACCCGTGGGAGGCCGTCTCCAAGACTTTGCGGGGTCCTGGGGTTCAGTTACGTCCGACCGGTGGGTGCTCGACACGATCGAGTGCGGCTACGCACTCGAGTTCTCCAGCACCCCCCCCCCCCGTCAGACATGATCGTTCGACCGACGGTAGTTCCGTCCGATCCTACCAAACGTCTTTCCCTCAAAGGGGAGATCAATTCCCTCCTCGGGAAACGGACAATTCGCCCGCTCCCTCCGGGGGAGACGCGGTCGGGCTTCATGTCGACCTTCTTCCTGGTACCCAAGAAGGAGGCAGGCATGTGGCGCCCGATTTTAAATCTAAAACCCCTCAACAAATTTATTCGGCCAAGACGTTTTCGCATGGATACGCTCAACATCATACTCCAATCGATTCATACACCTGCGTGGGGGGCCAGTCTAGATCTGAAAGATGCATATCTACACGTTCTTGTCAGACCAGACCACTGGAAGTTTCTTCGTTTTCAGTACGAGAACGTCCAGTACGAGTTCATGGTTCTTCCGTTTGGTCTAGCCACCTCACCCCGAGTCTTCACGCGTGTGGTGAAGACAATCGGGGCCGCATTAGAAAACAAGGTGTGATGATCTTCATGTATCTGGACGATTGGATCATTATTGCTCAATCTCAGACGGCCGCGTCGGCGGCACTCAATCTGACTTGGCGTCTAGCGGCGGATCTCGGGTTTATTATCAACGCCGAGAAATCCCATCCATATCCATCCCAATTCCCAATCTTTCTGGGAGCGTCTCTCGATCTCCAGAAGGGATTGGTTCGGCCTACGGAGGAACGAGTTGTAAATCTCCAACAGTGTGTTTCTCTGTTTCTCCCGACAACCATGGCCCCAGCACAAGCCTGGCTAAGGTTGCTCGGTCTCATGGCCAGTATGGTAGATGTGGTGAACTTTTGCAGACTAAGGATGCGTCCCATCCAATTACATCTGCTGTCCTTCTATCGGCCCAGTCGTCACCACATACGTCATCTGGTGCCGACCACACCTTGGCTGATACTGCACCTCCATTGGTGGCTCGACAATGCCAATCTCACGGAGGGGCGCGCGTTTCACAATCCCAAGCCGTCAGTGACCATCACGACAGATGCGTCACTTTTTGGCTGGGGGGCCACCCTCCACCCACGCCAAGTAGCGGGTCGGTGGGGGCCCAAAGATTGCTCAAAGCACATAAACGTGCTGGAGATGTTGGCAGTCATCAATGCTCTCCAACGTTTTCAAGCATCAGTGACGAACCAGGTAGTCAACATTCGATGCGACAATGCCACAGTAGTGGCCTACATCAATCGACAAGGAGGCACGCGATCCGCCCAACTATGCCCGCTCACGTGGAATCTCTTCCATTGGAGTAACACTCTTGGCAAGTCATCTTCCGGGCGAGGAGAACGTCACAGCCGACGCTCTCTCCAGGGGGTGGATCGTTCCGACGGAATGGACACTGCGTCCGCAGGTTGTCCAGTCACTTTTTCTTCTGATCGATCGGCCTCATGTCGACCTGTTTGCCTCTCGAAACAACCACCAGTTACCGGTATATTGCGCAAGACACAACGACCCTTGCGCATGGCAGACAGATGCACTGGCGATACGGTGGAACAGACTACTTGCGTACGCCTTTCCCCCGTTCTCCCTCATACCTCGAGTACTGACCAAAGTGGAACAGGAGGACTGCAAGATCCTCCTCATAGCTCCCTTTTGGCCACGCCAGCCTTGGTTCCCGAGACTCATCAAGCTCTTGGTTCACCGCCCGGTGATTCTTCCGAAGAGGGCAGACATACTGTTCCAGCCCAGCTCGGGTTTTCTTCACCCGGCCCCGGAGGATCTCCACCTGACGTGCTGGGTATTATCACGCAATCCTTCCGCACGGCGGGCCTTTCTGAACGAGCTGCGGCCATTGCAGCCTGCAGCCGGCAGGAATCTACCAGGAAAATTTATAGCAGTAGATTACACCATTTTTACAAATGGTGTAGAGCCAGGTCTCTGTGTCCCTCCGATACTTCTATAGGAGAGATTGCAGACTTCCTAGTAGGCCTCTTTGACAGTGATCTTGCTACAGCCACAGTTAAAAATTATCGTTCGGCTATAGCGGCTATTCATGGAGGCTTCTCTGACGGTTCCTCGGTGTCAGATAATCAGAATCTTAGCCAACTTATCAAGGGGATGTTTGTGTCACGCCCCCCGACACGTAGGCTATTACCATCGTGGGATCTCTTTGCCGTTTTATCAACCTTATCGAGACCCCCGTTTGAACCAATGGGCAGCTCAACCTTGTTGCAGCTGTCGGTTAAAGTGTCATTTCTATTAGCAGTGGCTACGTCTAGACGACGTAGCGAGCTGCATTCGCTTACGGTGGATACAGGTCATATCCGGTGGGAACCAGGGGGTGTACGCCTGGTTCCTAAAACAGGTTTTCTGACCAAAAATCAGTCGGAATCATTTTCACCTCCTGACATTTTTGTGCCGGACATCAAATCCTTTTCGTCCGTCTCTCGTGACAAACTTTGGTGTCCGGTCAGGGCCCTGAAGTGGTACGTTGATAGAACTAAAATGCTCCGAAGCGGCCACTCACAGCTGTTTATAACAACGACTCCACCATACCGACCGGCCTCGCGTGATACAATTTCCCGCTGGTTGGTTACGGCCATCAAATCAGCAATAGACTCACCAACAACAGATTCCGTTGGGTCAGTCCATGCACATGAGGTCAGGGCAACTTCTACTTCCTGGGCCTTTTTTAAGGGTGTTTCTGTTAAAGATATCACACAGGCAGCGTGTTGGAAAACCCCCAACACCTTCACAGAGTGCTATTTGAAGGATGTCCTCCAGACGGAAGGCAGAGCCGGGAGAGTGGTGCTGAAGGCGGCGAGCCGAGCATCATCGGGTCCACAGGATCCTCTCCTACCCGGGACTTCCCTAGAATAGGTGAGTCTCCTCATCCTGACTATTTACATTAATACATTACACTGTATTGAATATAAATGTATAGCTAAACACTCTTGTAGCAAGGTCATTGGTCTTGGACAAGTTACCTTTTTTGTATCAGTTTACCTTGTGCATGGGCTTGGTTTGAAGTGTTTTAGAACTTGCTTTAAGAAGTTTCGTGTACTAACAGTACTTTTCTTTGCAGGATTCAACTGTATTATATCATAATACTTTACATTATGAGGCGTCCCCCCTTACAAGGGCTGACGTCTCGGTTAACATGTGAGGGTAATTAATATCCTTTACATGTAGATTTATTGGTTTTTTCCCCTGTCCGCCTTTGGACGGAACAGTGGGAGCCATCTGGGGTTACATTTCCATGTTTCGTGCCCCTGTGAGTAAGCAATAGCATCTCGCATAGTGACCCACCTCCTTGACGGTGCTAGTCTATGCATAAGTAGTATTGCTCTACAGGTAAGTAGAGTGAAGTAGACTCCCCCCCCCCCCCCCCACAGAAGTGTGGTTGGTGTCTACGAACGAATACTTACCTGTAGAGCATCCCTCCCCCCTACCCCACTCTTCTCGATGCCTGGGTACTTTGTTGTATTCCGACTTAGCGCTCGAGAAAAGAGGACGCTCACGAGGCACGCATGCCGCGGGGTATTATGGGTAGGGCGCCAGAGGGCGCTATTGTATATAACTCTTAGCGAAAATACCTGCCGGTAGGGGGAATATGCAGTAGTATTGCTCTACAGGTAAGTATTCGTTCGTAGACCCCAACCACACTTCTGTGGGGGGGGGGGGGGGAATTTACTGGACTGCCTCCGTAAACATAGGCCACACATCCACATGTACAAAAAACGTGTCGACTTTGCCAAATTTTGATTTTCGCATTTAGGCTTAGTTTGTAGTTTATTTTTGCTTTAGAAGCATACTCACCCTCTTTATAGGCTAATCAGAAAGTGCTGCCTTTTTCAGATGTATAGTTTTTGTGAAATTTCCAGATTCATTTTTACACGTTTGCGTATCAAAATTTCAACATGAAATTTCACAAAAATTAGACATCTGAAAAAGGCAGCACTTTCTGACTAGCCTATAAAGAGGGTGAGTATGCTTCTAAAGCAAAAACATCCTACAAACTAAGCCTAAATGTGAAATCAAAATTTGGCAAAGTCGACACGTTTTTGTACATGTGGACGGAGGCAGTACAGTAAATAGGCCACATTTATGGGGCTAGCCTGCGTCTTGCAAGGGAAAGTAGCATCTTACAAAATAAATCCACTTACTACATGTAAAACACGGCGGCCGTATACCCTGTTTCGTGAGTAATGGAACCTTCACCCAACCTTGATATTTCAGCCCTAAATAATAAACTACTAACGCAGGGACATAAGTTATAACCTATGGTCATTTGTGATCAGGTGAGATTATAAAATTGTCATGCCTGTTATTAAGCTCAATAAAAAATAGAGTCACCCCAGGGACGTTGCTAGGTAGAACAATTAGAATTGGGGGTCACAAAGGGGTCACTCCGGCGGGGGGACAAAACATTGTGAAGGTTTGGTTGACCACTGAAAATACATGTAGGCCTAGGCCTATCTAGCTAAATTTCTGACCGTACAATATTAGTTATCTTGCGAGCGGGAGTGGAACACGTGCGTCTGTGTTCCACATGCCACGAGGCCGAAGGCCGAGTGATATGTGGGACACAGACGCACTACATTTCCCGTGTTCCACGAGCGCGAGCGTGATAACGAATTTATCTTCAAGCAAACTTGACGCACAGTCAAGTTGGAACACGCATGCTGTGTAACCTACGCGCAACTTTTGAATTCACAGTGAATTGTGCAGCACTAATCGGGTCACGTAGGCTTGGAATAGCGCAATACGCGCGTACGTGGAGTTGGGTATGGACCGTGGTCGTGCGGTATGGTTATATGTAGCAACTTGTTGCCATGGATCGACCAATCAGGATCGAGGTATCAAGTTTGCTTGAAGATAAATAGGTGTGTACGATTTAATCACAACCGTTTACGCATAGGTAATGCATAAAATATTATGCATTACCTATGCGTAAACGGTTGTGATATTAGAAGGCGAACCTACTGTGTACACATTTTCTTAATAAAGCGCACGTAATGTAAAATAGAAATAACGATCTTCCAAGTTCAAATGTGTCTCAGACAAACGTCCTTGTTGTTTATACTTGCCAACCTGTCGGACGTACATGACGCTACAAAAATGTACAGCCTTTATATCATCCTTTAAATGGTAGTGCGGACCCATACATTTTGTCCGATATCATATTATCGCCTTTTTCTGTGTCGCCTTAACGAAGTTTTGGTAGACAATCAACCAGTCCTAAATTCTGTACAACCGTATAACCGTACCCGTAAAAAAAGTTTTGGAAAAAAAGTATAACTTCTACATGCTTTCATGGCTTTTGACAATCTGAAGTATAAAATAAAGCTTTAGAACATGTTTATTCCCCTTTTAAAAGGCACAAAGACAAATGAATATGGAAATACAATGGACATACTGTATATAAAAATGACCAGATCCTACAAAATAAACCTTAAGTACTTTTTTAACTTATGGGGTTTCAAATTATTTTGTTTGTTATAAGGATGTTGGGAGTTGCATTTATTTGCACAAGTGCGGTCATTTTGATGACGTCACTTGAACATGGAGCCCTACAAGGATTCTGGGTATTTTTTATCTGTGACTTAGTCGGGGTCCATACTTTACAAAAATACCAACATTAGCTTGTAGTTTATTTGCTTGTTGGCACTTCCGTCATTTTAAAGAACTTTTTGGCCATAATTCGCTCGCCTATAAGGAAACACTGTCTTCAAACAGTCTAGTTGCATTTGACGGAGCCAAAATGTGACCACGTCACGACAGCTAAAATGGTAACTGAATGGCCTATATTTTGATTTCGTAATGTACATCTTGGGTTAAAAATTCATTGTTCCGTGTTATGTAGCAAGTGGATTGCACCCAGAAGGTTATAAAAGGTTCCGAATTTCTCACATCCCAGAAAGCTTCCATTGATTTTGGTTAAACCTAAGGTTCGCATTCATAAGAAAACGGCAACTATGAATTAATTCATAAGAAAAGCCAACTAAGAAGATTCATTTCACCTCTCTCTCAGTGTCAATTCAAATAGACTCCCTCCCTGATGGAATAATTGATCATTGTCACGGTGGACGCGACATACATATGGACATGCAAAGGATTGGTTTAGTTCTTGCAAATCTCACTCCGACCGCTTATCAAATCCAGGCACAGAGGTGACTGTTTATATTTCCTTGAATGACCATGTTGATGACGTAACTCAATGAGAGTGTAGAAAGTTGTGTCACAGGACCCACCATCATATTCACCCGACACTCATGAGGTTCTTGAAGGGGTGATATATTATACAAATAACGAATGTTTGTGAGTGCGATGGTAAGAATAATTTCATGAGGTGACAGATTGAATGTTCTATTCCACAAGGCGAAGCCAAGTGGAATAGAACATTCAATCTGTCACCGAATGAAATTATTCTTTCCATCGCACGAACGTAAAACATTCGTTATTTGTTTTATACAACACCTGAATAAATTCTCGTCATTTGATTGGTAAATTATAAAATACAATTTATTTTGATTTTAAAGATGTTGAACTACCCCTTCACGAAAATGTTTGAACCCAACGCTGTAGCCTGCTGGCTCTTTGGAACAATACGCGCTACGCTGAACGCGCACACCAGCATGCATTTTGCACGCAAATACCGCGTCATGGAACAAGCGCAAAGTGAAACGGTATAACGCATGGGTATAACGCATGGTCGCACCGTGCATTATACCGAATAATAATATGTCACTTGATCTACAATTCACCAATCAGATGATGGGGATTTATTCAGGTGTTGTATAATATCTAATAATTTATAACCTATGTGTCATACAACAGCAGTTGAAATCTCTCGTAATAACTTTGTTGACGTCTTGGAAACTCAACTGTTGATGTCTCGCAATGATTATGCTCTACAATTCTCTCGTACTTCCATACTTGAACTACAAGGGACCATTAGAAACGTAGCCTTGACCAAGGCTATCAGCTTGTTCCCATACGAGCTTGTTCGCGCTACCGCATACAGCACGCTCCGCGACACACTGATTGTACTATACCGTTAGCCTCAATGACTCTTGCGGGTGCTTTGTGTGCATGTACGTACGCCCCACACACACTTCCGCAAACAGCTGTACACTAAGTCGAGGCGGAGGATAGCCCTGACGCAACCGTGGCGAATTCCTTATGTGTTTCTTTATGTTTTGACCAAAATCGGCCGAGAATTTCTGATGCGCATATATTACACGATATCCAATCAAAGCCCGTAAACTTTGACCCGCGACATACATATTCATGAAGCCCGCAAATTACTTTATACACCACGAATGTTCACTCAAAAATAAATGTCCAGGTTTTCAATCACATTTTAAACTATTTCTCCAGTTTTATTACAAACAATGAAATATGCTGCTATATGAATGAACAGTTGTTCAAAATGATGATACATTTCCAATGTATTGCGAATTGGACAGTTCAAGACAGTCCGCCGACGTTTATTGTCAACAGCGTAAAATTCATATGTTGTACACACAAGATATTAAGTCGTACTTATATACAACCAAGTCGTATGCGACATATATCGTACCCTGTCAACTCGACATAAAAGATCGTATGCACGACATAAATGTTGTACCGGCACCTGTCGACATTATGTCATATGTTTGATATGTCATACCCTGTTGATATATTAGTCGTACTCTGTCGACATAAATATGTCGTACCCTGATGATATATTAGTCGTACATACGACATATAACTTATAAGTCGTTCATACAAGTTAAAATCAGTCTTACGGAATAAGTTAGCTGATAGCCATGTTATTCATCCGGCCGTAACGTGGTAAACGTATCTTCGCTAGCGCTATGCATGCAGTCATATGTCTATGCATGTAGTGCATAACAGCGACCTCACGCGTCCACTATTTTTATGCAAATCAGTTGGACGCAATCTAGCGCCTTGGTTCAATCGTCCATGTCAGGTTTTGGGGGTGGTGCTCATTATGTTAATAGCCTTAGCTGACCTTAAATGTCGTTTTCTTATTGGTCGAGCTGTTTTTTTTGTTTTTTTTACAACGAAATAAGAAATCCTTGCCAAGCAAATAAATGTCATATCATTATTTACTGACATATACATGGAACATTGTCAAGGCTGATATGTATCATTTGGTAAATATTTATTTATTTCATGTGCATTTTTTTTTCTTTTTTCGAGGGTGGCTTGTTTACTTCCTTTTTTTTTTTTGGCGTTTTAACTTGAAGACTGAGACAAGTTTGTAAATAAGGCCACATGAAATATGTAAGCTACACACACTGCTAATAGTTTCTTGTTCTTTTGGATTTTTTTTTTTTGCAAGCGAAAAGCAATAGTGCTGGAGAGTGTGATACTAACGTTTAAGTAAGGTTATGACAATTAGATAGATTGACTTTACATCTCGCGGGGGGTGGGGGGATCTGATCTACTATAGCTACTTAATGTTAAAACTTGGTATACACTGGAATACCGTGCAAGCCTTTTGTTACACAACTCCAGTATTTTGGTCCTTGTTTATTCAAGCAATAAAAAGTATGTAGGCCTACCTGAAAATAAGTATCGATAAGGGCATTATGGTTACTTATGTTAAGTTCAATAAAATTGACTGCATTTTCCCAATGAAAATGTTGCAGAGGTGGCCATAATATTACTTTTCTAAATTAGTGCATATAATTAGTATTTAATAATAAATAATTTAATATTAAATAATATTTATCAAATTTGAGTTAAATAATAAGTCACAATAAGCCAACCTTAAATACTGAATATGTAAATTTTCTATTGTTTAAAGAAACAAGTTGTGGCACAGTCCCAGCATACTGGAATGAAAATAAAATTAAAAAGTCAAACGTTCAAATAAAATACAATACATCATAACAATTAGCAAGACTGGCAGTATTGTTTTTATTGGATTTACAGATGAGTTCAGCTGTATATGCCAACCTAACCAACCTTACCTTCCTCCAATATTAGACAAATTACAATAAAATGCATTTGTTTACATTAGTATAATAAAGAGAATGACATTTAACTTTCATTTCCACTATAAAAATAGAATAAAATAGGCAATTTATTGTACAGTGTCATCCACCAAAAAGCAGCATAAATGAATGTTAGTACATGTTTAAGAAACTGATGAGCAGTCCATTTTGGGCAAACTACCTTAATAAAGGCAAGAAAAATATCATTTATGAAGTTATATTAAAGAAATAATCCTTTTACAGTCCTTGTTCTCTCAAATTTTAGTTATTAGTAAATCCAAAATAATTAATTGTAATATTGATAAGATCAACTAACAGCGAGACCAGCAGTATTGTCACTTCAACTCAATCTACTCTTGATTGCTGTAGGGTCTCTGATTCTTGAACATCTTCAGGGTAGCTCCAAACTGTAGCTTGTTGCTCAGCTACAAGAAGGTGTAAATAAAAGAAAATAATGTAAGTATTTTCCATGGAATGCAAGCCAACATGCAGCGGCGGCGATTTCCAAAAGGTTACCCCCAATTTTTTTTTCAGCCTGTAAAATAATTACAAAAGGTTAACCCACTCTTATTTCTTTCCATGAATTATTTTCATAAAGGTTACCCACAATTTTTGTGGCCCATTTATCACGCAGTTTTTTCACTGGTCAGGTGACCTGAATTCATAATAAATTTTGCTCGGTCCATAAATGTAATAACTCCGAGGGTGAACGTGCATTTTCAATTTCTGGAGGGATACAAAGTTCAGTATGCTGGGACTGTTCCATGTCTTGTTTGATAGTTGGGTGATGGCATTCATCAGAAAATCTAGGGAATGAGCTCCTTGAGAATTTTTTGTAGAGTTTCGGATGATCTAGGTGCCTTCTGATGCAATCTAGAACTAACAACATGCAAAGAAATGACCCTCATTATTAGGGGGGGGGGGCATTGCCATAGGGGTCCCCTCAAACAAAAATATTGGGGGAGGGAATCGCTGCCCATGCCCATGCCAACATGGGGACCCGGGCTCGTGAAAACGTACCTAGTTTCACTTGCGGTTTGATTCCAGAGTGAATAACATAGGGTCCAATCTTGAGGAATATACTCATGTTTACCTCCAAGCGGAATTAGATTTCAATGTCTTTAATGTATACTTGAGAGTTTTTAAAAAGTTTTGGAAGTTTGGCTTTACAATTAAATGAAAACTGACACAAAAATGTAAACATACCAGGAACAAATCCTTCAGACTCATCATCTCAGGTGCAGTTATGTTGCTCTTGACATCCTGTTCAATAAAAACAACAAACTAGATTTGCTAGAGTAAATGTTTTGCACATTTCAAGAATTTTGTTCAGGTGTCTTTGGCTGTTTCACAGTCTATTTTTAGATTTCATGCTTCTTTTGCAGTACATCATAAATTACAAATGTGTAGTATGATATCATTGTAGTGTGAAGCTTGACTGCACAACACTTCGGCTAACAAGTGTTTGTTTTTCTTTCTGGTTAGAACGCTGACATGCAGGTCAGACATGCAGGTATGAAAATGGTGGTTTAAATGTGGAATACATATTTGTATAACTTGTGGCTAATAAAATTCACAAGCATGACAACAAGTGATTGCAACTACAGCAATGAAATACATGTATCATTTTTGCATTATATATACATTTGTTCTTTTTTGGGTTTTTTTTTATTTACACTGACCCAACAAAGTAACATTACAGCTCAACCAGAAATAAACTTTAATTTACTTTTGGCAATTAGGCCTCGAGTTGCCAATTGAAGACCAGCTTCCCAGGACTTTTCCTTCTTCATAGACTGCTGGAGTTATCTTTGGCATTTTTTGGGAGTTCCTCTCTTGCTTACCGTAGATGATAATTTTTGCAGGAATTCATCAGTTCTGTTTTATTGAAGCTGGTTCCTGACCTGAAAGTAATTAAATCCACAGACTAGTTGAAGCTTTTGGTAAATGTATGGGTGCAAACGTAAGTGCCAAGGGTTGGCTTAGCCCTAGCTCCCTTCTGGTTCCAAGATACTTGGCACTTGAATGAGGCCTAGTTTAGCCAGAGTATAGGGCATGACTAATTGATTATAAACCTAGACTGGTGTTACTACTCAGGGAGTAGGGTAGGCTGCGTTAATTCTACATGTGTGAATATTTAGCACATGTACTTGTGCTATTTCGTCTAAAACAACAAAAGAAACACCAGTATAATTCATAAAGAGAATATATACAGCATTTGCTACACAGATAAAACAATGAGGAAATCATAGTCTAGCTTTGGCTTTGCATGTTTACTTTAGCCTAGGGCTAGGGCCACTCCCAACTGGCCCTAGACTGGGGCTAGTACTAGAAGAACAAACTCGCATTCATTAGAGGAAGCCATTTGTCAACATGAGCTTACACATTGTTATTTTATTGCTCATTATTGTTAACCCAAATTGTCCACGACGCGTCTACGAGGCTTATCAAAGTCTTTTCATTTTTCACGATAAAGGATGCAACTTGAAACAACACAAACTTTCGCTGCCTATGTTACTTTGTTAGCTCTAAAAACGGGTGAAGTGAAGGCTTAAAAAGTGCATAAATCTCCATCATTGTTTTAAGAGCAGTTTTTCCACATGACAATGACTAATAGGCTGTGCCATTTCTTGTCTATTTTTCTACTTTGTCTATTCATGCTGACCATTAATTTGCATGGAAAAGAGAGTAAGCTTTACAATTAGCTAGTGTTATGTGCCTGTGGTTTTTCAATGTTGTGCTATTTATGTATAAGCTTTGTGAATATCACCTTATTTACCAGATACATACAGTACATGTACCTATATGTCTCCCCCCCCATTAAAAAAAAAAAATACAATACAAAACAAAGCAGAACACCAACACGCAACACCAAAACAAAATTCTGCTCCCATACAGAAAGGTAATTTGGTTAGAATTTGACTCTTTGAAACACACACATTGCATGATCCAATCAAGTTGGCAAAAATAGGCCTACATCACTCAATCTGCTTCCAATACATGACGTACATGTAATGGAATCCACCACTGATGAAGTACTGGTGGACTTAGTACACATGGCTATATGACAACAGCAGTACAGGATACTAGGCAATATTCAAGCGGATTCCCCTAGCACTGCTTCAGGCCGTCAGGCCCAAGTCCATCATACTCCATCAACATTTAGTCAAACCAAGTCTGCAGGACCAAGTCCCCCAATATCCACTGAAATGGAAGGATGGATTTTGATGAAGTTGGGGAGTTTAGGGTTAACATTTTTTACTGCATGACAAAATTAGCATAATATTAAAGAGGCAGTAAGTCCTGAAATCCCCGAAAATTTCATGTTTTGGATTGTTTACTTACACTAATTACAAGGTCAAGTTGAAAGGACACTAACCTAATGGCTTACTGTTCCCAAGAAAAGATGGAAAAAAACTTGGTTGCTACATCAGACACGACTGAGTACGCATACGTTTTTCCTGTCATTTTCATCCAATGTACGACACAATTGTGTATGTCACATAAATTACACGTGGAACCATTGCACAAATGTGGCTTCTTATACATCCGCAAAAGGCAAACACTTTATGGCTGGAATGACAACTAGCCCTGAACAGTCTGATTTTGGGGGTCACAAAATTGGACCCCAAAATTCATTATCGCACAGAATAACACAAAAAAGGCCCAGTTTTTTAAGGATTGTTTTGAAGTTTTGGACCCTCAAGCCATATCTCACTAGCGCAATGTGCTAAATTCATAATTCCTTTCGTATTAGGTTTGTTCAGCAATCGGTATATGCACATAATTTGGAATAATTTGTGACGTCATGATGACGTCATCAAAAAGACGAATTTGTAAAGCACATATACATTAAGCAGGGATATGCTTTCTCCATTTTTTCCCCCTCAAATCCGTGTTTTTTTTTGGCTTCAAATGTCAACCAACGTGAATCATGTGAATCCGTTGAGAAAATAGGGGGGGTAGAATGTGCTAATTAATTATTCATGAGTTTTGCTTGCCGAAATATCCGACGGACATACTTCGTTGATCGATATGCATGTATCTTACGCACGCACATATTGAATACCAAATGTGAGAACGAAGTTGAAGACCATGCGTTGCCGTTAGTCATGTTAGTGCGATCATGTGATTTTTCGCTCGGGTCCGAAGTTGTGATTATTTAGGTGTAGTTCCTGTGTCGGTATTCGAGATGCATGTGTTGCGCTGGTCAGGTGTACAGACTATTATTACTCAGCGTGCACAATGGCATACAGTACAGTACAGTCGTGTGGATTATGCACGTTGTTTTACGTGCGTCGGCTCAGAGTGTTTGTGTACGTATGCTTCCAACATGGCTGCGCCCAACAAGTCGATCCTGTTGCAATGAGATTTATCAGTGCAAGAGCTTGATAAAGAAGTGAAAAATAAGTTCCGGTGGGAATGGTTTCGGGACTCTGTTATTATTGACGGGCATCAGCATGAATTTCAAGAGTGTTTCAATAAAATAGCAACCACTGGCAAGGTTTTTGGCAATGCCTTTTTGCAAATGACATTATAAACTATGCATCGAGTGGAAAAAAATCGCTCGTTTCCCATGTGAAACACCCAAAGCACATCAAAGCATGGCAAATACAGCGAAGTAACATGAAAATGCATGGTTCTCAACTTTGAGTTCTGAAGAAACTTTATAAGAACAAGAGCACATTTTAACAAATGAAGCAAACTTCTTCTCAAAATTAAAACAAATTCTGCTCCAAAATTTCAGAGGAAAGTGCCCAGTAATTGCCTCAGATTGCACCACAGAGCATCTAAAATCAAAATGTTTTCTTATTCCCGGCACAAAATCGGTGTTACCAGAAGTGCAATAAAAATTGAATCTAACTCAAAAACAGAAGCATTTTACTACATGTATATACTAATAAATTAAGTGGAACTGCTTAGTGAGGAATGCCAGATACAAAAAAAACCCAGCATGATGATGTCATCATCTGAAAGAGCGCCCTCTAATAGAACTTGTTTTTTTTTAATTTGAAAATCATCTGTCCATATTTTACTAAATCGCCCCTTGAAATTTTTTGATTAACCACAGATAACTTTGCAAGGTTTCAAAATCATGATGTCATCAGACTGGAAGTCACTTAAGGGAAAATTTGAAAAAGATAATTTGTTTATTTAATTCTATCATTTGATCCCTGTTTTATAACTATTCATAGCCAAAATTATGATATCTGTTACCATGTTGATGTTTGGATCCCTAGAGCTGTGTTGTCATCAAACCGGAAGTTAGCTGTCATTGATACATACACTCATATTTTCCATATTTTCATACGTTATTTAACTTCATAATGAACATGTATCCTCTCCGAACTAAATCAGTATTCAATACCCCCTTTTTTTTGGGCTGATACTGAAATTCATCATACCTAATGGATGCATTTTTTTTTGTAAACAAAATAATTGGTTGCACTGGAAAGGTTAAATTTTGTGATCCTCTGTTTTGACATTAAAATATTCATAATTTAACCGTGCATTTTTTTTAATGAAATAATTGTCTGCCCGACCACTCTGCATTTGTAACTCAACAAACACGAACCTCTAGTTATGAACCTTTACGTCCCGACTTCTATTCTTTTTTGTTTCTATTGAAGCCTTCAACTATGTAGCATATTATTTAGGGTACAGAGATTTCCTTGTGGAGTTGTATTGTTGTTCTTTGTTCATTGTACCCCCATAACCCACCGCTGTTTTCAGGGCGACATTAGGTTTGTGTGCATGTCCATGCTTTAGTTCGTATGAAATGCCCTCTTATGACTGAATTTCTCCAGTCTTGTTTTGCGTAAAAACAGCTCACCGGAGGACGTCTTTTCAATCGCTTTTTTATATTACAAATAAATTTTTGATATTCGAGATATTACAATAAATCGACAGAAAAAGGACAATTATTTTTTATCAGATAGACTGTGATTTTTTCGGCAAGACATTTGATTAGAAAACTCCTTCGAAAAATTACCTTTGATTTTTATCGATGTTCATAAATGTCTCAATTGGAAGGAAAATAGCATTCAGGTTTCGTGTGATTTTTCGTCATCTGGGTAAGTTCATTCCGAATCAAGTAAATTACCATTGGAAAGACTAATTAAAGGAGAATATTACTGTTGAAGACTGAAGATGGAGCCACGTACGTAGCTATTTAATACATACACTGAATGTAAACAAACGGCGCCATTTGTGCATAAATCCAATAGCAGGCACTAGCGTACATCCCCGTCGCTGGAAATGTATACACGCGGGGCACCGGCCAATCACGCGTTGGCGTGGTAGGCCTACTTGTTTGAATCGCAAACCCCGCTTACTGTGCTGTTGAATCGCGAAAAACCACAGTCAGTGTTCAGTAAACCCACCAGGGAATCCCCTCATTTGCAGGCGAGTTTGGGGGTTTTCTCTTTTGAAATCACCATTAATACAAAAAATAAAGTCTCATTGATGTTTTCGTGGCAGTCTTAATTCAAACTTATTTACTTGATTACAGAAAAAAAGCTTTATTTTGGACACTTTTTTTGCTGGTTGCTGGCTTTCGTTCAGCAAACGGAGGTTTTTTTTCGTGAAAATAACGACATGGCATTTAAAATCTTAGATGGAGATGCTCAAGTTATTCATTTTTTAACCTATATTCGGACAAATCTTATGGCTTCAATAACCATTTCGTGCATTATGAGCAGTTTTTTGGAAGGCCGTTCTCAGCGATCTGTTTTTACGAACGTGCTCATGAATATTAATTTTACAAAACAACCCAGAAAAACTGGCACATGCGCATAAACCTAATGTCGCGCTGTGAGCCTCTGGAACAGCGGTGAACCCCTGATATATCTAATTAAACAGGTTTGATCATATCATATGGTTAGACACAGGTTGGTTTGATTGTGTTCATCATATAACTTCCCCTTTGGACAGCCTTTTTTTTCCTCTTCAATTTTTGTTTTTATTTACACACATTACATGTACAGTACAGACACACAGTTGTACATTACCATTACATGTATATACATAGGCATGGGCGTTGCGAGGGGGGGGCAAGGGGGGCACTTGCCCCCCCCCCCCCCCCCTGGAAAAGCAACAAAAAAAAAAAAAAAAAAGGAAGAAAAAAAGAAAAGAAAAAGAAAAAGAAAAAGAGGCGCGAAGACAAAGTGGTGTAAATTTAATGAGTTGGGGGGGGGGGACAGAATGTCCCTGCCCCCCTCTAAAACTGATAAATCGAGAATGTGTTGAGAAATACAAGCATTTTTTGGCAAAAAAATGGTTTGCCCCCCTCTAGAAAAAATCCTGGCGACGCCCATGTACATAAGAAGAGGAGGCATTTTATTTCTTTTTGTTCATATAACACTCTCCTAAAAGCACACAATCCACGAGGAACATTCTCAACAAAAGAATACCTTTTTAAGGAAAACAAGAGATCTTTTGTTCCCTCTGTCTTGCTTTCTTTCAGACAGTATATTATACATGTACATACATGTTTGTCTGAAGAGGAGATATGCAAACACAGACAGACTTCATCCAGTGTGTGGGTTCAGCACAAAATATTAAACAGTCCCTTTCATGTGCACTAAACAACTAATTATGAACTAATGCTTTAGTGTTTGTGAAACAATGTTTGTGAGATAAACAAACCTGATTTATAGATAAATACATTTTCTTTTAAAGGTTGGGAGAAAAGAGGTTCTGTAGTGAGTAGCAGCAGTACAAGCACAGAAGAAGGCGCAATCAGAGGTAAGAAATGACACCATTCAAGACTTACACAATACCTCAGGTTTTGGGGAAGATAATCCAATCTGTCTTCAAAAGTAGTTTTTACTAAATTAGTTTCATCCATCTTTTGAATTCGTACGGTGCTTTCAATTATATCTCAGTGCAACATAATGGTTAACATTTGAAGGCAATATATCACTTGTTAAAGAGGAATTTTGTTTACCAGAAATAAATGTGTGTTGGGAAAAACTAAAGAGGTAAGGCTTAGTGATGGTCACAGGAATTGGGATAACCAGGTATGGCACTAGATTAAACCTTCTGTGGTCAAAACAAAGTTTTTTCCTGCAGTGCCAAGGCAAAGAACCTGGGCACTTTTTCAAAATTCCCCCCCCCCCAAAAAAGTCTCCGGTCTGCGCACGCATCGGCAAAAAAAATAAAAAATTTTTTACATGTTTTTAGATGGGGTTACGATCGAGTATAAGCTTTATGTGGCCTCTCTGGACTCGTATATTTTTCACTAAATTTAGTCGGGCACCATTTGCAGACGGTGTTGTAATTTTCAGTGTTGTAGTCGAGGCCACAACCTCCGAGGCCGAGGCCAAGGCCGAGGCCACAACCTCCGAGGCCAAGGCCGAGGCCGAGGCCACAACCGCGAGGCCAAGGCCAAGGCCGAGGCCACCACCTCCGAGGCCAAGGCCGAGGCCGAGGCCAGCTATCAAAACACGTAATAAAATATAAATCACTAAAACAAGGCTAAGATTATGTTGGAGTTTTAACATCTTTTCAGTTGAATTCACTGAGTTTTGGAGTGCCTGGCTTAAAAAATTTACAGCTTGCAATGGGTTTCCTCTTGTAGGGAGTCCGGCGAATTTCATTTTTTAAAGAAAGAAATCTCAAGTTTTGTATCACTGAAAGCAAATTACATAACAAATCAATGGCGTTTGAATCAGTCTCATAGGTGTTTGCCCTTTGGAGATACAACAATTTAAATGGCCAACTTTTGAGTTTCTATTCTGTAAGATTTACATCGTTTACTTTTAGCATGTCTTATAAATATTATTTTAAAAACCTATCAAAATGCTTAATATCATAGGAATCCCTATTAAATAAACAACAACTTGATTTTTGAGTCAGGTTTTTACCACTCATAACCAAAAAGTTACGACCCCCCCCCCGACTTTCGCACTGTCCAGGCGCGCGCCCGAGCAAACACCGCGATGCGACCAGACAATGCCAGATGGCCCGCCGTTACGCAAGGGCAAAGCATAGTTCCAATCCCGCTCGTACAACGGAATGTCCACGCATTATCACCGTTAATACCACGGTACCAGACAAAGTCTGGCAATGGCTAATCCCGCTCCAAGTAACACGGAACGTGCGTGCATGATATCACTCACTCAGTTCATCAAAATGACCATGAATTCTCGGATCATCCGATTTGAATCCAATGGCTTCGAAGTATTTTAAGATCATGGCAAGAGGTAGGGATTCCAGAGGTTTTGGCCGTATATCTGTAACCACGCAAAATTAGTCAACTTCAAACCGTGCTTATACATGTAATAAGTATCAACATGGCTCTAAAAATACAAAAAAGTATCCTGGTACCACGAGGAATACTGACTCCTATTATTAAAACATTCATTCAGAACTTTGCATTCATTTGGATGGAAAAAACGAATTCTGAAATCGCGCTTTCCATATTGACCATTTGCGCCAAACATTACCGTGTGAGCCGGAACTTTCATTGAAATTGCCGTGTAAAAATAAAATCTACTTGATAAATCGTAATTGTTTTTATCATATCTTTATGGGGGAAAAATGGTACAGACTTCTACACACGATCGTACCCAGAAAGTTCAGACTTTTACTGAAACACTGGCCTATAAAAAGAAATGATTAAGCTTGCCGCACCTTGCCGCAAATTATTTTTAAAGGTCGGGGTACAGAGGCGAAACGAGAAAATTTTGTACAACACTGCGACGAGACTAGTCTACTACCACATGTTATTGTACGCAAATGGGAAGGGTGCCAGACTTATGTAGTCTGGCAGCGGTAACAGTTATAATGCTTGCACGCACTTGGAAAGCTGAAGCGCAGGCTAGGCGAAGATGCTACGTACGTGAGTACGTTCAATGCAACCATTTCCAGTTCATTCGTGCGTATACATTGTATGCGTTCGTTTCACGGAACCCACTGCGGCAGAATCTCGAGGGTTTGATACGGTAAACAAATAAAATTAATTAGAATAGAAAACACATCAAAATAGGCGGCCTCGAGCCGGCCTCGACCGATTCGCCGAGGCCGGCAGGCTCCGAGGCCGAGGCCAAGGCCAAGGCATTGCACCTCCGAGGCCAAGGCCGAGGCCGAGGCTATGAAAATCGGCCTCGAGGCCGGCCTCGAGACCTCCAACACTGGTAATTTTGTAATGGTGCATCTGGAAGCCAGACTGAGGGAGCAATGGTCGTGTATCTGGAACCTGTAAACACTTTTTAATTAGGGCAATATGTAAGGGAGCAGACTAATGACCAGCCTGGCAGCTCATGCACAATGTCGATGTCGCTGTATGGTCTAATGTTACTACCGTTTTCTCTGATTGTTGTCTTGACTATCCACATTTCGAGATCGTAAAAGAGTGCAGAATTCTCGAGCCTTATGACCTTACTATGGTCACCTCAAACTCCACTCTGAAGGATCAAAGCATCATCTGCAACATCAGCCGACATTTGAAGAAGAAAAAAAGTAGTGAAGAAGAAAAAGTAGGGAAGAAGAAAAAAGTAGGGGAAAAAACAAACGCGTCGCCGCACCACTTTTGGGGCAAGCTCCATACCAGAAACCGGAGACTTTTTTTTTGCTTAAACAAAAGATACGTACCTGCCTGGGGGATTGCTATACATCTTGCATAGGGGTATGATGGGTGAGAGTGGGAGGCTAAAGCAAAAGTAGAAAGCGGGAAAGTAGTCAAACCTAAGGTGTGTTATTGTTTTGTGTTAAATTACCCACCATTCAGCATATCAGATTTTATTGCTCTTTGTATCACTTGTGCAGTATAAGTACCGTTAGTTTGAAAACAAAAGTACTAATCATGTAGGCCTCAAGTGTTATAAACCAGAAATTTGCCCTAAATTATACCAAAATCACATATGGTTTTGACTGGGTTTATAATAGGTTTGGCTTGGCCATGTATACTCACAAATCATGGAAATCGTCCTGATTGGTCTTAATGCCAATTCTTGTACACTTACTGCATCCACAGTGAATTCTCCTCTGGTGGAAGATAATCGTAATGACAGTGCCTATGAATTAATTGACATGTCTGAAGTGAGTGTGGGTGGAAGCACAGGTGCCGGGGTGCATGGAGCTGTTGGTATAGCGGCAGGAGTTGCTGTAACAGGTAACATTTTGCATTCTATAGTCAACCCTTGTCGAGTGTTAATACTGCTAGATTCTGTCACTGGGCTGTTCAGGTATGATGGAAGTTTTTTTTGCATGTTAGATGTAGTGTTTGTTAATATTGCTAGGTTGTGAGTGATGCTTAATTCTTGCATTGGGATTTTGCTCTACATACACCGAACAGTGTTTACTTTTGTCATTAAGCTGTTAATGTACGATGGAGGGTTTACATTTTTGAGAATACGAGCTCCAGAGCAAAATGGTCGTCTGTACAAATCTGGATTGCCCAATGTAGGCTGTAAAGTCTGTAGAGTTGTCTGGCAGGTCCCAAATGTGCCTCCAACCTGCTGAACAGCTAAAAATGACCACACCTCAACCACAAGCAGCAGACTTTTATACTTGGTCTCTACCCTGCTTGAAAGTAATGGGACATATGCACAAACAAAGAAAACTATTTCTGCCCTAGTAGTGGCCTGCCAGAGCCTGCATGACCTGCACCCAATTTCATGAAGCACTGCGACACGTCGCAACCGGAGTTACGACGTGTAAAATGTCGCGGCTGCAGTCTCCTAGTCGGCCCCTTCAGCCACTGCCGGCTGTCGGAGCTGACGGACCCGTTGACCAAGCGGGGGGCCGTACAACCCCACCGTCTTCGGTCAATATTCACGGGTCCGCCCAACTGAAGGGGAAACGCACCGGCAAGACAAGGAAATTGTCTGACGCCGGGGCAGTACCCAAAAAGGGACGTACGGCAAAAGGTGGCCCCGCTACGGGGCGCACCGTGCCTGTCCCTGGCCCGTCTACGGGGCACACGCAGCCGGAGGAAGTACTCCTCCATCGCTCAGTGCACCCAGGCCCACCCAGCCCCGTGATTACCACGATGCCTGGGGATGGGCTGTTATATGGCCGGCTAATCGACCGTACAGCACCCGCCTATGTTACCGGCGTGGGGGCGCTGTCGGCCGCCCGGGCTATTGATAGCATAGAGCCGAATCCCTGGGATTCCCCCAGAGCGTTAACGCTACGCTCGGAGGGCCATGCCGCTACATCGGCTTTTATTCATTCTTCGGGCATCCCCGTGTCCCCGCAATCCTCGGCAACTACTCGGAGTCGTTCTTCAAAGAAGAAAAAATCGAAAAAGAACCGCCGTTCTCGCCGTTCTTCGACGAGTTCTAGTGAGTCATCTGGTCGATCACACCGTGGGAAACGCCACAAGGGTGGCGACCCGATTTCACGCGATGATTTTTTGGAAGCTTTTCACTCCCTCGCGGCCTCATTGTCGGGCCGACAGGGAGATTACGGTCACAGTTGGCCGACTCCGGGCCAAAAGGACATACCGCACACGGTTAGCCGTGCGCTGGAGTCCCCTCCAGAATTACAGCCCCCACACGCCAGTCATCACGGCCGTGGTGGGGTGACTACAGACCAGCGGACAATGCCGTGCACGGAGGGCCGTGCACCGGCGTCCCCACCCGGTATTAGTTTACACCCATCGGTGTCACTAGAGTCCGAGCGGGGCTCAATACCGGGACACCGTGACGGCGCTGCTTCGCCCCCGGGGCCTGGTTCCCATTCCCCGGTGACAACTCGCCCCCCGGACTCTGACAATTCGGTGGACGAGAGCGAACTGTCCCGCACCATGCAACGCCTATCGGTGGCTGAGACCGAACTCCGCTTGATCCAATGGGATATGATCAGAGTTCTGCATCTTCCTGCTGGTACCGAACCTCCTCCTCCTGAGCGTCAGTCGTTCAAGAAGAGATCGGGACCGACGGCAGAACCGGTCCGGGCTTTTCCCACAATGCCCCTGGACCGCGTGTGCGTTGACCACATCGACGGGATAATGCACGCAAAGACATGGAGTGCCTACGCTAAACGCGTAGACTCATATTATCATTTCCCCCCAGGGGATTTTGAGAAATATTTCTCAACTCCAGTCCTGCCGGACTCGGCCATTGACAAACTTGCCGCTGACCGAAGGACAGCTTCATCCAAGGTTCCTTTTACGGACAAGACCCGTGGAAAGCTGGAGGATGTCACCCGTAGAATGGACTCGGCGGCACGCATGGGTATGCGTGCGACGTCCTTTCTTCTTCTCCTATCCGAGTACCTGGCCCTGGGATATGAAGAAGATTCGGTGATACTAGCCGACATGATGATGGCTGCTCTCCATTGCCTCGATCGCGGCCTATGCTCCACTCTCGACCAGTTTGCTAGAGTGTCGACCTTAGCAACATCATCACGCCGCACCAATGTGCTAGATGCGCTTTTCCTCCCTTCACCGGGAGCACGAAAGCATCTCGACGATCTCCCGCTCTCAGGCCCGGACTTATTTTCTGGTAAGTTCCAGGAGGCCATGGACGCTGAGGCAAAGCGCCTCAAGGCCACAGAGAAAATAAATCTCAAGAAACCGGCCGAGCCGAAAACCGAGGACAAGACAAAGAAACAGCCATCTTTTGTCATTCCCCGGCGCCGCCCCCCGGTCAGAGCGGCCCGTGGTGGATTTCGTGGGCGCGCCGATAAGACGGTCGGCCCGCGCTATTCACAACCACATACCGGACAACAGCGTCCCCAGTCGGGACGCGGTTTCCGTGCGCCCACTCCCCGGTATACCGGGGCGTGGCGCAAGTGACTTATGCGCCTCCGGGCGGCCTCCCGCCGGTGGACCCATGGGAGGACGCCTTCAGGAGTACGTGGGGTCCTGGGTGCAGGTGACTTCCGACCGGTGGATCCTCGAAACGATCAGCAGCGGTTACGCGCTCGAGTTTACGAGGACCCCCCCGTCGGACATGCTTATTCGGACAACGCCCGTACCGCCCGACACAGCAAAACGCCGCTCCCTCGAGGGGGAGATCAACGCCCTCCTTCTAAAGAGAGCAGTTCGTGTTGTCCCCCAAGGGGGGACCCGGGCAGGTTTCATGTCAACCTTCTTCTTGGCCCCCAAGAAGGAGACCGGCGTGTGGCGTCCAATACTGAACTTAAAACCCCTCAACAAGTTCATACGTCCGAAACGTTTCCGCATGGAAACGTTACGGACCATTCTTGCATCGATCATAACGCCAGCGTGGGCGGCCAGTATAGACTTGAAAGACGCGTACTTTCACATACCGATCAGGCCGGAACACCGCAAATTCCTACGTTTCCAATACAAAAATATACTGTACGAATTTGTGGTGCTCCCGTTCGGGCTATCCACTTCTCCGCGGGTGTTCACCCGGATCGTGAAGACGATCGGGGCGGCACTGCGGCGACGAGGGGTCATGATATTCATGTACCTCGACAATAGGCTAGTAGTGGGTCATTCGCGGGGGGAGATGGAAGCGGCGCTCCAACTAACGTGGCACCTTGCTTCCGACCTGGGATTTCTCATCAACACCAAGAAATCCCATCCAGTCCCCTCCCAGGTTCCCACCTTTCTAGGTGCATCCCTCGATCTTTGCAGGGGACTGGCCCGTCCATCGGAGGACCGCCTGCTGAACCTTCGGCAGTGCGTGTCCCTCTTCCTCCCGACGGTAGTGGCTCCGGCCCGAGCCTGGCTCAGGCTGTTGGGCCTTATGGCCAGTCTGGTGGACTAAGTGGATTTTTGCAGGCTGAGGATGAGGCCAATTCAACTTCACCTGCTGTCTTTCTACAGACCCCGCTGGCACCCGATCAACCATCCGGTGCCCACTACGTCTTGGCTAGTCCCCCACCTTCGTTGGTGGCTAGTCGAGGCCAATATAACGCAGGGCCGCGTTTTCCGCCCGCCCCGCCCGTCGGTACTTATCACAACCGACGCGTCAGGGTACGGCTGGGGGGCTACCCTCCACTCGCGACAGGTTGCGGGTGTATGGGGCCCCGCACATCAATCATCCCACATCAACGTCCTGGAAATGCTGGCAGTCACCAACGCACTAAAACATTTCCAGTCGGACGTCAGAGGGCAAGCAGTCCTGGTACGATGCGACAACGCCACAGTGGTGGCATACATCAATCACCAGGGTGGCACTCGGTCAGGCCATCTGTGTGCACTAACGTGGGATCTCACCCTCTGGTGCATACATCACGGGACAGCACTGTCGGCAGTCCACATCCCGGGGGAAGAGAACGTCACAGCCGACGCTCTCTCCAGAGGCTGGATCGCCCCGACAGAGTGGTCACTGCTCCCACAGGTGGCTCAGTCGATCTTCCGACTAATCAACCGACCGCATGTGGACCTATTCGCGTCGCGAATGAACAATCAGCTACCGATCTACTGCGCGAGGGGCCCAGATCCCAACGCGTGGCAGACCGATGCACTGTCGGTGCGGTGGGACGGCCTACTGGCCTCCGCCTTCCCACCCATCTCCCTCGTTTCTCGAGTGCTGACCAAGATCGAGCAGGAGGATTGCCGAATTCTCCTCATAGCCCCGTTCTGGCCCCGCCAGCCGTGGTTTCCCCGGCTCGTCCGACTCTTGGTTCACCGCCCGGTAATTCTACCGAGGAGGGCCGATCTCCTTTATCAGCCCAGCTCGGGAATCAGTCACCAGGCTCCGGGGGATCTTCACCTGACCTGCTGGGTATTGTCACGCGATCCCTCTTCTCAGCAGGCCTTTCGCGACGAGCTGCAACAATTGCAGCCCAGTCCCGTAGAGCCTCAACCAGAAAGGTGTACGATAGCCGACTACGCCATTTCTTTAAATGGTGTAGACGACAATCCATTCATCCCCCCAATACTTTTGTAGGGGAAGTGGGGGATTTCCTCCTATACCTTTTTAACAGTAGGCTCACGACGGCCACAGTCAAAAATTATCGATCGGCCGTTGCCGCGATCCATCAGGGATTTTCGAACGGTTCCTCCGTTTCCAGCAACCCTGCAATTAGCCAACTGATCAAGGGGATGTTTAATACTCGTCCCCCAGTACGCACATTAATCCCATCTTGGGACCTCTTCAGTGTATTATCTACACTGGCGAAGGCTCCCTTTGAACCAATGAATTGCTCAACTTTGTTACAACTCTCCATCAAAGTAGCTTTTCTATTGGCTGTCGCTACGTCCCGACGACGTAGCGAGCTACACTCGTTATCGATGCAGACAGGACACATCCGGTGGGAACCGGGGGGTGTCCGCCTGATCCCTACGGCCGGTTTTCTCACAAAGAACCAGTTGGAGACCTTTACGCCCCCGGACATCTTTGTCCCGGACATCAAGTCTTTTTCGAACGAGACAAACGACAAACTTTGGTGCCCAGTTCGAGCACTCAAGTGGTATGTCAACCGTACGAAGTCACTTCGTACGGGACACGACAAATTGTTCATCACGACAACCCCGCCCCATGGGCCGGCGTCCCGCGATACAATCACTCCCTGGATCGTGACAGCTATCCGTTCCGTACCGGGCGGCTGGCCAGCGACCCAGGGACCCATTCGAGCGCATGAGGTCAGGGGAGTGTCCACCTCGTGGGCCTTTTTTAAGGGTGTCCCCCTAGGTGACATCGTCAAGGCAGCCTGCTGGAAGAACCCTAACACGTTCTCCGAATGCTACCTGAAGGATGTCCTCCAGGCAGATGGCAAGGCTGGAAGAGAAGTGCTGCTAGCGGCCAGTCGAGCCTCACGGAAGCACTAACGGGTGAGCATATAAATATACATGTACATATACATATACATACTTTGGACACGCCTCATGTCCTACACCCCTGTAGACATACGGTAATTCGCGTATACCCACCGCCTTACTCGGTGCGAGTCTATGCATATGTAGTATTCGCTCTACAGGTAAGTAGAGTGATGTAGACTCCCCCCCCCCCCCCCCCACAGTAGTGTGGTTGGGGTCTACGAGCGAATACTTACCTGTAGAGCACCCCTCCCTCCTTCCCCACTATACTCGATTCCTTGAGTGCTTACGCAAGTAACGCTTGAGAAAAAGAGGACGCTAACGTAGTGCGCATGTCACAGGGCGTCGTGGGTAGGACACGTGAGGGCGCTATTGTGTAAAACTCTTAGCAAATTGCCTGCCGGCATAGGGGAACAATGCATATGTAGTATTCGCTCTACAGGTCAGTATTCGCTCGTAGACCCCAACCACACTACTGTGGGGGGGGGGGGGGGAATTCAGCAGATTGAGGGTTTATGAGGTTTGGGATCGTTTTTGAGTTCTCATACTTATCCATGGTCTCTCCACCTTTATTCATTTAACTCATTTGTAATTCTTTGGGAGTCATTGTGGACCTGTACTTTATCTGTTAATGGCAACAAACACACCCTCCTAAGTCTCAATTCCATATTCACAACATTAAAAATCCCACTTTTTCCTCACTTTCTATCACTTTTTATTACTTTCCTATGCTTATTACTGTTTTTCTTATCTTGGTTTTAGTGTCGTGAGTTGTACTTCTGCATCAAGGAAAGCATGGAAAAAGCTGCTACTCGTCAAAAAAACGGCATCTCTGGAGGTAAGTCATCAAAGAGGACATGTGATCTCTTGATTGTTTTGTTTTGTATCAAATCAAAAACCTTTAAAAAAATAGAATTTGTTTCAATCAAAGGAATCAAAACTGCCAAAAATACGCACAAAATTCTATGCAGTTGATACCGACCCAGCAGCATGATATTCGCTACTTCCGCCAATCCCTCGTGCCACACGATGGTGTCTTCGTCTTCAAAACAAATGTCGTTATTTACCCGGCGATACCCTGTTATTTAACTGGCAGTTTTCGTTGTCTCACAGCAGTGTTGCTGTACTGAATGAGTGAGACTTTACACAGGGTGAGTGTCGCACGAGTTGCAAGCCAGTCACCCTTTACCTACGCTACCAGTTTCCGTCCAGTCAGCGTGATATTTCGCTATTCGCAAATCCCTCACGCTGCACTGAATGCTCAATTCTTTTGCCTTCAACATAAATGCCACTATACATGTATAACCGTGCGATTTGCTATTATTTAACTGGCAGCTTTCGTTGTCTCACAGCTGTGTTGCTGTGCCGAACAACTGAGACATTGCATGGGGCGCACGTCGCACTAGTTGCAAGCCACTCACCCCTTACCTACACTACTAAGTTACCGACCCATCAGCATGATATTTCGCTACTTAGCAAATCACCTTCAAAACAAACTCCGTTAGTTTTCCAGAAGTTTTGTTTCCTCATAGTGGTATATTTGTCAATACGTGAGGCTTCCCATTGACGGAACGTTGTTAACTGCTACACCACAACTTACTGACCATTCTGCGTGATATTTCGATTTTATATTAGCAAATCCCTCATGCTGCACCGATTCTTTGGTGCTTTTGCCTTAAAAACGAACACCGTTATTTTTTACCGGCAGTTTCGTTATCTCACAGCGGTGTATTGACCAACGTCCAAGACTTCACATATTTGACCGCAAGTTGTTAACTCTGACGACACAACTTACATGTACTTACTGTCAGTGTGATATTTCGCTGTTAGCAAATACCTTATGCTCCACCAGTTATTCTATACTTTCACCTTCAACAGTTTAATAGGGTGATATTTTGCTGCTAGCAAATCCCAAAGTAGTCTTCTGGCCGCTCCAAGATTGTACCAGCCGCCACACTATCGTTCCGGATGTCCCGACTACTCCAGTTGCCGTCCGGTTTTTACCCATCATTTGATACGGGTTTTTCCCCATGCTGAAATTGTCATCCACTGCTTTACCAGCGAGACCTCTTTGCCGGCCTTTTTAGACTTCTACGGAGAAGATTACTTTTACCACGGTTTGTCCAAAACTGTCTTCCCCGTTGTCCACAGCCGTCAAGCAGTGGTTTTCATTCCACCGCTCGACACCCTGCAAATCCACGGGCCACCTTCTGTCCTTCAGCCTCTACCGCCACTTTTCGGCCACGGGTCCGCTGGCGGAAGTGAATATGCCTGCAGACATCGCCCCCCCCCCCCAACGGGACCGGGGCAGGGGTGGATCCAGGAATTTGTGCAGGGCGGGGGTTCATCTGCAAATCAATGCTAAAATGTAGACAGTTTTTTTCCAGACACTTGGCTCCGCAAAATCAATGGGGCCCTTCTACCATACTTTTAAGGGGGGCGATGTTCCAATCCGACGATTATTAACACTATATTACAGAATAGTGTATCAAAACCCCCTAACCAAGCTGGCTCTGTACGTATTCCATATTTTGTACACAGGCAGACATTATTACCAGTAGAATTGTTTTGGGTGTCAGAGTGGGGGGGGGGGGGGTGTTTCACATTATTAGCTTTTTCGCAAATTTGCGAAAAAGCCTTTGTTGTTCTGATTTTTTTCTTTATTGTTCTTCTTCTTCTTCTTTTTCTTCTTCTTCCACACAAAATCCCCATAGACTTTGTGTACAATTTTCTGTCCGGCACTTTTGCCATTTATCTTTGTCACACATTCAAAGTTACCACAGGCATTGTCCCTATATAGCAAAGTTGTGTCCCGAAGAGTGACGTCATGGTGATGTCATCATGGGTCACGTGACGTCATCTGAAATGTGCATATTTTAATGTCCTGTATCTACAGAACTGTAAGTCCGATTTGGTTGAAACTCGGTATGTAGGTAGACCGGGATGTGTTATAGGTACAAATTGAAATGACGTCATGATGACGTCATCGTGTGATTTGATTTGATTTTTTGAATTTTTGGACCTTTAAGCCATATCTCTTGAACACAGCTTGCAAAATTCAAAATTCTTTTTGCTTTGTGTTTGTTAGGTAATAGGTATATGCACACAATTTTGAAAAATGTGTGACGTCATCATGACGTCATCAAAAATGCGATTTTCAAAAATACATATAAGGGAAAGCCCGATTGTCATGAAACTTGTTGAATAGCTAATCGTACTGGTATGTAGTCCGAAACGACGTCACCATGACGTCATTGGTTAATTTTTTATGATTTTTGTAATATTTAAAATTGCATTCCGCTGTAGCATGAATTTAGGTTTTATGAAATACAAACTCATTGGTGGTATTGCGCATGCTCAGCATAGATAATTAGGAGAGGGACCGGTAACGTGAGAGGGTTCAACCAATAATAGGGAAAAAGAGTCCGATTGTCATACGAGTCCGATTTTCATATGACACCGCTTCCAAAATTTAACACTTCCTTTTATTGGATTGACTTCAAGCTTAGTACAAACCACAATGCAAAAATATGCATTAACAAGTGTTATCAAGATGACGTCATCGCAGGGCACGTGACGTCATCATATGCAAAATCCGAGGTAAAGTCAACATGACGCCATCAAGTAATTTTTTTTTATTGTAAATCTGTTGGCTATACTAGCTCAATATAACTTTTTATGAACTTTGAACAAACAATATATTTTACATGACTTCACATTGCCAAAAAAGCATAAAGTCATACAAAAATAATAATGTTCTGTTTTCAAACAGACACAGACCTCTAGTTTTTAATGAAATTCCCACCCGGATCCGCGCCTGATGTGAGAACCCGTTTGACCCATTTCGAACGGGTACTGGGACCAAATCACTTCAGCCCGGTGGGTACTCAACATCGTCGCACTCGGCTACTGCCTGGAGTTCACGAGCGCCCCCTACACAGTGGTTTAAGACCCAGACATTTCAAAAACAAAATTCTCCTAATATTATGCTCTAACCTTGTTTATCTAATGACTTAATTTATAGTAGATAAAAATATTTTTTCCAACATATTTACCGGATATGTCACTCAAGTACATAACTACACAAAACTAAGAGGGTTAGACTTATTACAGTAGGCACATTAGTGCAACAATAAAAACCTGTTTTTCTATACCGAAATTATATCTTCAGATAGAAAACTGTGCATCATCTTGTAGCTTGTTTAGTACCCTTTCAGCTAATATAACATTTGTTATGAAAAGTATTTCATAAAGTGCAGAAATTTGCGGGGACTACTTATGGTAAATTATGTAGAAGTATCCCAAAACAGCAAAAGACACTCAGATTATGTTCGCTAATGCATATATATTTTCGCGCAATGCATCGTTGTGCTAAAAAAACCAACTTTGTAAGCAGTCCTCAGCTGGGAATTAATTTAAAATGCTGTCGCTGGCGACCAAGTGAACAGCGCCCTCTATTGTTGAGATTTGTTGAGCGTACTGTACACGTACATGTACAATGTACATGTATGTGATCGATGTGTTGGGCTCGGTGTCGTCGCTTATAGACTTCGGAAATAAACGGCAACATTTCCTGCTGTTTGTGCTTGTAATAAAATGTCTTAGGCCTTGCAAGGCCAGGAAAAACATTAAACACCATTTCAGCCAACCAGACATGCCAGAGAAGCCAGAGAAGCCAGATACTTTCAAGGACTGATTTGTTGATATGTCCAGCAACAACTCCGTACCGGACCAGAGCTGTCATTGTGATGTAAATTAGACATCTTATGGCTTAAATGTAAACACTGAGATGATATCGTGTTCACAGAATACCTGGCCACATCCCAGTGGCGAATCCAATCCAATCCAACAACTAACTCAGTGAGGGTCTTTCCGATCACGACAGATACGTCTCTGGTGGGTTGGGGTGCGGAGATGGAATCTCACCAAATGGCGGGGCTCTGCACTTTAGCAAAGGCCACCCTCCACATCAACTTTATCAAAATGACAGCAGTCTTATCACCCTTCACCGCTTTTACAGCATGGTGCAGAGTCAATCTGTTGTCTCCTGCGGTGACTGTTGTCTAACACAATGTGGCATTTACGGCATCGGTGTCGCCAGCATGCCATCTGTCTCAGAGAGATCCATCTGGCAGGCACGGAAAACAGCGCAGCCGATGCACTCTCCCGGGACTGGATTCGCCCCATGGAGTGAGCCCTCCGAACCTTGGTCATGCAGACAATCTTATCACAATTTAACCGTCCGCATATCGACCTGTTCGCAATATTACTCAACTGCCAGCTCTTTGTGTACTATTCCAGATCCCCAGACCAAAGGGCGTGGACCAACTTATTTGCCTACGCTTGTTCCTCGATCTCCCTACTAACCTGAGTACTTGGGAAGATCGAGCAGGATCCCTGCAGGGTCCTCCTGATTACCTCATTTTGGCTCCGACAGCCTTGGTTTCCACGCCTTGTCTACCATTCCTTACATTCCTTCTCAAGAAGCTGCCGCCATCGCAGCCCATCGCCTCCCTCAAAACAGATTTTCTCTTGACGGCAGCCACCGCGCGCTGCATGAGTGAACTCCACGTCCTAACCATAGGTCAAGGACATTTGACATTGGGAGCCTGGCAGGGTCCGCCTGACCCCCCCATCGTTCTTTCCTCACCAAGAACCAGTCAGTGACATTCTTCCTGACTGACTTCTTCGATACCGACTTAAAGTTGTTCTCCGTCCGAGAGGACAAGCTCTGGTGTCCTATCTGGACCCTCAAGTGGTACTATGTACCTACATCGGACTGCACCAATCCGTGGCCATACGACTCCCATCATCAGACTGGCCTATCCTGACAGAGTA